TTTTTTTGGTTTTTCTCCGGTACCGGGAACCGAACTCACGACCTTGCGCTTGCCAGGCAGGCGCTTTGCCGCTGAGCTAAATCCCCAGCCCCTAAAGACTACATTTCTATGATCAGCAGTGACTAACACAGCTTATATGATAAGTGGAAAAATGATAACAAACTATGAGTGTTTCCTCTCTACACAATAGAAAAGTAAGCAATTTTTATTCATGAAACATAAATTTTAAGTGTCTTCAAATATACAATTTACATACAAAATATTTTGATACAGCTAAGTTCAGAAAAATATTGTGATGAGTCAACCTAGATTCAATCCTAGAAGACCTTCCCTAACTAGTTTTGTTAAATCAGAAGTCCAGTTCAAAATTTTGTGTCCTATGCCAAATGAAATGTGAAGAAAAAAATTCTTGATCCTTTATGGAAAGATAGCTCTGCTTGTCTCCTGATAACATAAGATGAGGGCTGGGGATATAGCTCAGTGGCACAGCACTTGCTCGGCAAGCACAAGGTCCTGAGTTCAATTCCCAGTACAAAAAAAAAAAAAAAAAAGATGAGAAAATAGATGCTATCCTAAATTTTTTGGTCTATACAGCCTGAAAAACAACATTACTTGTGCTAAATAATATTTTCCTGAATTTTATGAAATTTTATGAATTTTATGAAATTAAGTACAAAGTATGAGAATTCTGCCATAAAACAGATTTTTCCAGTTCTTACTGATATTTCAGATTATTTCTAATTGTTTGCTATTAAAACAATATTTCAGTGCTTTAAAAACCATAAATTTTCACATTTTAATGGTGATACTATAGGTAAAATATTTTTCACACTAAAATTTGCTCATGAATTTTTACATATGTATATATCCTACAACACTTCCAACCCATATGAAAATATTTAGCATCTAGGTTATTTTGTGACTCCTCCCGGCAGATAGGCTCCTCAAATCCCTTTATCATCATAAATTAATCATTCCAGCTTCAAACTTCACACAAAAGCATTACACAATATAGGCTCTTTTGTGCCTGGCTTTTTCCTCAACTTGAATCTGTGGTCAGTCTACACGTTTCACCCCCATAGGTGCATATGGTAGCACTTAGTTCTTTTTCACTGCCATCTGTATCACTCATACTATACCTCGACTTTTCACCTCTGTTGTTGGATTATTTTATATAACTAGTTTTGTGATGAATAAAACAGCAATGAACATTCTTGCTCACATCTTCTGGTGGATTTTTCTGTACATTTCTCTTAGTTATATACACAGAAATGGAATATCAAGGGTCATGGGGATCTCTGTCCCATTTCCTTTTGCTATAACAGAATACCTAGGACTGGGTTATTTACAAAGATCTGAGATTTCATGTAGTTATGTAATTACTTGTCAAAAGCCCCACCTTAAATGCTGTCAAGATATGAATTTGAGGGTTAAGTTGCCAATATACGAGCTTTTGGGGTACACAGTCAACTCATGGTATGGGGTGTATGGATAATTAGCAGTACTAGCAACTGTGAAGAATTTTCCTAAGTTTTTTTTTTTATCAACTTACCACCCACCAATGTATGAGGGCTCTGATTGCTCCACATCTTTATGAATACTTGGTATTATCAATCCTTTTAATTTTGGCCATTCTGGTAAGGTTACAGTGGTAGCTCATTGAAATTATAATTTATTTTCTATGACTAACCATACTGAGCACCTCTGCCTGAACTTTCTGGCCATTCAGATATATAAGTTGTGCTAGTAGTTTTACTTATTTATTCAGAGAATCAACTGGGTTTATTTCTCTAATTTATTTCTACTTTCTATTTCCTGATTTCTGATTTTAGCGTTACTATTTCTTTCCTTTTACTTTCTTTAGGTTTATCTTTTCCTGGCTTCTTGGGGTGGAAAAGGTAAACTGATTTTCAGATCTCTCTTTTCTACTACATGTATTTAGAGTTGTAAAATTTCCTCTGAAATTTATGAGCTTTACTTCAGATATACTACATAATCTTTGATGTCATGTTTTCATTATCACTAGTATAAAATATGTTCTTTTTCAACTCATGTATTATTTAATTTCATGTCATTAATTTGCAAAAATGTGACTTTCTACTTATACTTTTATTGCTGTATAGTTTAATTCTCTTGGGTCTAGAGAATACTCTCTATGGTTTCAATGCTTTCAAATCTGTCAAAACTCGCAAGAAGTCCCAGCACATAACCTATTTGAGAAAATATTTCCTATACATTTAATGTAAAGACAACATTAGCTTGTGTAACTTTAGATATTTAGCAGTGTTGCCAATATATCACTATTGTATCTATAAATGAGTCGATATTAAAATGTTTATCTATACTATTTTTTGCACACTTGTGTTTGTAAATAACCAAGAGTTAAATCTAAGTCTGATTGAAAATTACTATATTTCTTTTGGCAATTACTTTACAGATTTAGGGTTATTGTATTTTCCAGTTGAATTGACTTATTATGAAATGTCTCTGTATATCTCATAATGCTCTTTCTTAAAAACTAATTTGTTTGAAAGTAACATGACACTAGCTTTCTCTTCATTAAAGTTTTCATGATGTTGTGTATCTTTTTTCCATTCTTTTGCTTTGTATCTTTTTGTGCCATTATATTTAAAGTCTGACTAAAAAGTAATGTAAAGACGCTATTTTTTGTCTGTAAAAACCTTTCCTTTTACATATTTGGGTTGTTTAGTCTATTTATTTAAGAAATAAATTTTCATTTAAACATTTTAATACAAAATTATTGACAGATGATGTAATTGATCCAGTAAGGAAGGGTTATTCCTTACATATACTTGGGTTAAATCAATGAGCTTGCTGTTTTCTATTTTCCCATTTTTTATTGCATTATTTATCTTTTCCTGCATTACTTTGGATTAATCAAGTAATTGTCAGTATTCTGTATGTTCTCATCTGTTAGCTTTTACATAATATGTCTTGTGCGGTTCTTTTAGGAGTTCTTCTAGGGCTTACACTATGCATCCTTTACCTGTTGCAGTCTACCTTAAGCTAGTACCTTTAAGTACTTCCATCACTTTGTAAACAATGCAAAAATATTGTAACAGTAATTCTATGTATTTCCCTCCTACTCTTTGTATCATATATTTTCCTTTTGCAAGCATCATAAACCTCAGAAGACATTGTTTTAAAAGGTCAGTATTTATTTTTAAACAAATATAAGCTATATAAATAATATAT